TTTAAACGTCAAGCATACACAACTTTATTTAAAGCAGAAGTGAAACTAGCAGACTGGGTCAAATGCGCTAGGCTGTAAGTGTCTCTCATTCTGCACCATGCGCTGCCCATGTTTAGCTTGCTTTAAGGCCAAAGTATACTTCGGCTTTTACTCGTACGCGAGGGTCCGTGTACACTGCGCGTGACGCAAATTACATCACCAAAATAGTATGTGCGTACTCCTATAATGTATGACGAGTGTTATACATGTTATACAGCTCAATTATATATATTTAACAGGTATAATTAAGTGTGGAAATAACTGAAGGAAATATCTGTTTGCTAAATGAAGCCAACTAACATAATTTATGTTGTTAAAATAACATTCTGTAAATATATTGTCTGCTGGTTTATTTAGCTACTTTTCAGTACACCACATTATATGCCACTTAGTACTGTAAGACTGAATGTTAAAGTGCAAGTTAACACCTGACCACTCTTGTGGGCTTGCTACTGTTACAGTTAAAAATCACAGAAAGGTAAAAACATTGGTATGATGTAAGCATAACATGATTCATATTATTATTAATATTATTATTTTATTTCTGTTCCCAATATTTAAAAAAAAAAAATTACAAATGCTATGAGAATACAGGTATCGGTATTGGCGAGTACCAAAAATGAAAGTATCAGTATCGGACTCATTCTGAAAAAAAAGTGGTATTGGTGCATCCCTACCTAAAAGATTCCTCTGATCCTAGGCTAAAATCTGAAGTCTTTGGTCGTTAGTTTGACGTTCACCGACAGCCGATTAATGACTGTTGCGATCAAATTTAAAAAGTATATACATTTTTATATAGTCCACAGATCTGAGATTCAGGAGAAGAGCGTTCCACAACTTTGGAGCAACTACCTCAAAGGCACAGTCACCTTTTTTCTTTAATCTGGAGTGAGGAACAACTAGCAGGATCTGTTTGGAAGATCTCAGATTCCTGCTGGAATTATAAGGTTGCAACAACTCATTTACATAAACAGGAGCTTGACCATGCAATGCTCTAAACACCAAAACAAGAATTTTAAATTGAACTCTAAATTTGACAGGGAGCCAATGTAAAGTGATTAAAATAGGTGTTACGTGAGATCTCTTTGATGACTTGGTTAAAAACTTAGTAGCAGTGTTTTGGACCACTTGTAATCATTTCAGGGATGAATTACTAAGACAAGTAAAAAGAGAGTTACTATAATCAAGGCGGGAGGAAATAAAAGCATATATAATCATCTCCATCTCCACTATTGACAATGTTTCTCAACTGATAAAAACAATTTTGAACCAGTTATTTAACGTGTTAATCAAGACTCAGGGCTTGTCCCATATGAACACCTAAATTACGAAGGGAAGGTTTAACAGAATGTGATAAAGGACCAAGACTTTCCGTCACCTTTGGGAGAACACCAGCAGGAGCCGAGATAAGTACTTCTGTTTTTTCAGAATTTAACTGTAATTATTTGCCATCCAGACTTCTATAGAGTTTATACAATTTAAAAGAAGAGATCATTTCGTAATTTAATGGGGCTTAAAAGAAATATAAAATGGAATATCATCTGCATAGCAATGATATCATACACCTTGAAAAGTACTTATCAATTGCCCCAGAGGCAACAAATACAAAGCAAAAAGCAATGGGGCCAAAACAGAACCCTGGGGAACCCCACAGGAGAGAGACGCTGTTGATGAGGCATAATTGTGAACACTAACTGAAAAAGATCTATCTTACAAGTAAGAGGAGAACCATTTCAAGGCTGTTCCAGAGATATCAACATACTGTCTGAGCCTCTCAACTAATACACAGTGATCAATGGTATCAAAAGCAGCAGTAAGATCTAATGGTACCAGAACAGAGCATTCCCCTGCATCACCTTGCATTAACAAATCATTAAAAACTCTTAAGAAGAGCAGTTTCAGTGGAGTGCAAATGCCGAAAACCAGACTGGAATTGATCAAATAAATGATACCCATCTAAAACAGCTGTACGTTGATTAACAACTACTTTTTCCAGGACCTTAGCCATAAAAGGTAGCTTAGAAATAGGTCTATAATTTTGGGGCAAGGACGGATCGAGATTTGTTTTCTTGTGAATAGGTTGAACAACAGCTTGTTAAAAATAAATTGGAACATGACCAGATGTTAATGAATTATTAATTATGGCAAGCACACAGGGACCAATGGTATCAATAACATTTTTAAACAAAGTAGTGGGTACCACATCCAGGGGACTAGTAGAGATTTTCATAGCACTAACTAGTTTAGTGAGATCTTCTAGTGTTATCGGAGAAAATTTCTCCAAAGTTACTAAACTGGAAGTACAAGGTATTTGAAGAGAAGGAGAAGGAATAATATTATCTCATATATTGTTTATCTTATCCACAAAAAAGGAGAGTAAACTGGTGCATTCATAAACTGAGGAGATTTGGACCGCAGGTGATGGAGGAGAAACAATGTTATGTATGGTGTCAAACAAAATACTTAAT